GCGGGGGAAGGGCGGGGGGGGGATGTTTCCTTGTGGCCGAGACTGGTCATCCTAGATATGAGGGTTCTGGGCTCACTGCCTGGGCCAGCCCCAGCCGCAGACGTGCTCACTTGGGTAACTTGTGAGCAGAGATTTCATGTAAAAGTCGGAGGTTCTGGCCACGCTGGCCATTTCACTCCGGCACTGAGAATCCCACCCTCACTTCTCCTGGTCACGTGGCCCATGTGGCTAGAGACGGCCACCCACTCCTGAGGCTTTCTTCAGCCAATTCCCCAAATGTCCCACATTTGGCCTGGGAGTGACCGTGGCTCTGAGAACAGTGTGGGCCCCCACCCCAATGGCTCCCTAGCTGGGTGGGGGGCTGGCCCTCAGGAGGGGGAGGGGGTACAGCACCTGTTCACTCGGGGATCCACAGCAAGCTGGGCCTGGAGGGATGAGGGCAGAGTAGAGGCGGCTTTCTGGGTCTCTGGAAAAAGAGGCCCCCACACTTGATATACATTTTTAAATATACTTTTTATTGATTTCAGAGAGGAAGGGAGAGGGAGAAGGAGAGAGAGATAGAAACATCAATAGTGAGAGAGAATCATCGATCAGCTGCCTCCTGCACGCCCCACACTGGGGATCAATCCCACAACCCGGGCATGTGCCCTGACCGGGAATCGAACCGTGACCTCCTGGTTCATAGGTCGATGTCCAACCACTGAGCCACGCCGGCCAGGCAAGACCCCCACACTTTAAGATCTGGAGCCTTGGAGAGCCCATTTCTACCCTGTTTGGGAGGTCAAGTCAGAGGCAGGGGAGAGGGGAGAACCCCAAGCGGGTCAGGAGGCTGGGATTCCAGCTCAGCTACAAAGCGCCCAGGAGCCCAGCGGGCATGCCAGCCACGAGGCTCCTCTACAGGCTGAGGGAGAACACAGCCCGTCCCACCTGGGCCCTGCCATCCTGGGCGTCAGCACTCACCCTGAGGCCCGGGGGCAGCCACAGCTCCTTCCTCCCCTTCCAAGGGCTCCTCGGGTGGCTGGAGGGTTCAGATAGGACCATGTGAGCCCTCGAGAGGCCAGTCTGGTTCCGGCAGGGGCAGCCCCTGACCCACCCATAAGGGACCTTCCACCTCCCAACTCTACTCTCATAATCGTCTCTGTAAATCCTGGCGGCCTCACCTTCCCCCTGGGACACACCCTTCCTCCCAGCCCCAAGGGCCCCTCATCCAGGGCGGGGCCCTCACACACACACACACACACACACACACACACACACACACACCCGTGGTCCCCAGGCCTATCACACCCCCCACTGAGACAGTCTTACCACCAAACAAATACCGACTGAACTAAGCAGCACGCTCAGAGACATAGTAGACTCATTCTAGAAACTCCTAGTCTCAGGGTGGACTGCTAGCAAACAGCCCATGCCCTGGCTACTTCGGCAGCTCTATTCTAGACCAGGGGTCGGCAAACCACGGCTCGCAAGCCACATGCGGCTCTTTGGCCCCTTGAGTGTGGCTCTTCCACAAAATACCACGTGCGGGGGCGCATGTACAATGCGAAGTTGACTTAAAACTTTAAGTTTATTACGTTAATTTTAGGGAACGTTGTGCAGTGAGAGAAGATGTAGTGTCGAGAATTGAGAAAGGTATGTTGAGATGGCTTGGACATATAGAGAGGATGAACGAAAGGAGATAGACGAAACAAGTATACAAGACGAGTGTGGATGGGAGAGTTGGAAGGGGTCGACCTCAGTGAACGTACCTCAATCAGATTGAGGACGTTTTTAGCAAAGGCCAGCTTAGGAGCACCCTAATTAAGTTAATAGCAATGTACCTACCTATATAGCTTAAGTTTAAAAAATTTGGCTCTCAAAAGAAATTTCAGTCGTTGCACTGTTGATATTTGGCTCTGTGGACTAATGAGTTTGCCGACCACTGTTCTAGACTCTCGAGGCTGGCAAACAACGCCCGTAGGCCAAATCCAGCCTGCTGCGCATTTTGTAAATAAAGTTTTATTGGAACACAGCCATGCTCATTCGTTGACGTATTGCCGATGGCTGTTTTCACACGTCAATGGCAGAGTTAAGTAATGAACAGAGATGGCATGACCCGCAAAGCCTGAAATCTTCACTGTGGAGCACGTTCTCCCTCACCCTCCCTTCTTACCAGCGACTCGCCTTCTAGCTTGGCCGCCTGGGGGGCTGTGTTAGGCTCTGGCGCTGGTTCCAGCTCCGCCTCCAGGTCGGGCTCCGGCTCTGGTTCCGCCCCCTTCCCCTCCTCCATCCTGGTCTTCTGAGGGGTCCCTGGGGGCTGAGGCAGCACCCTCTGGACCCAGCCCAACATCCTGACACCTGGAGAGCACAGAGTCCTCAGGCCTCCCCACCACTTGGGGGCCACTTTTGTGGATTACACATCTCCCTTTCCTTTCCTCTTTTAAAATATGTTTGCAGTTATATCTCCAAGTAGCAATAGTCAGGCCCACAAACACATGTGTAGAAAGAGACTGATCACAACAGTGTTATAGCAGAAGATGAAAAAATTCAAATATCCCTCAACAGGAGGACAAAATTAACCTATTTTCATGATTTCAATATTTTAAAGTAAAATGACAGGGAAGCCCCTTGTGCAAGGTTTACAGGGATAGGTCAGCCCTACCTTATATGGGTTCAGTTTCTGGTATCATTTACCTTCAGGGAACAGGGAGCCCCCTCCCTCGTGATCGGATCCCCGCAGGAGGGCCTAGCCTAGCGGCACCACCCAGGTGAGGCTGTGCAAACTCCCAGCCCTGAATGGTCCCTTCCGGGCCGTGCCCGCCCCAGCCCTGGGCAGCCAGGTGTTGGTAGAGGGCTCCTAGGTCCCTGCTCCACCAAGGGCCCCAGCCCCCGGCTGAAAAGGGCAGGCCCGGGCCCAGGATCCCTGCCCCGGGGCCCCGCTCCCTGAAGCCCATGGCCATGCTGCCTCCTTCTGCTCACAGCTCTGACTTCGGTCCCCACTCGGCCTCAGCAGCCAGCCTCCCCTATGAGGGGCTCAGCCTCCAAAAAAGTGAACTTGGGCCAGACATGACCCCTCCAGGCATCCATGTCCCTGCTGGGTGGGATAGACAGTGGCTGGGGCCCAGGCACCACTGTGGTCCTGGCTGTCCCTCTCAGGGCCCCCTTCCGACCAGCCTTTCAGAATCTTGTGAGGAGCTGGTGGAAATGCTGATTCCTAGACCCCCCAAGCCCTCTGCGGACCTAGAATCTGCATTTCACAAGCTGCCCTGGGAGTCGGATGCACACTAAGGTTTGAGCCGCGTGGGGAGGGACGGGGGAGGGAAGCCCTGGGTTAGCCTTGCCTGGTTCTCCATGTCTAAAGGCCTCGCTAGTAGGAGAGCATGGGAATCCCATCAGCAGGCCCACCACCACCTCATCCCCACTTACCTGCTCTGAGGCCGGCCACCAGCCAGGAAGTGCCTTCTCCCCACCACTCGCAGCTGCCCTCTCAGACACGGGGATTAATTGACAGCACCGGGCAGGCGGGCCCTTAATTGACAGCACAGCACAGGGCCGTGTGCAAAGGATTAGCAGGTGCCAAATGGGGGTGGGGAGGTGGGGTGGTGGGGAGGAGGCTGACGCTCAGGGAGCCAACAGCAGCCCCCTAGAGGCCAGCAA